TGGGGTGGGAGGTGTCTTGTGGGCCGCTGGTGGGGGGGTCTGTTGAGTGGGGCTGGTGCCTCCTGTGCTAGGGGTGGGGGGGTCTTGGGTGGGCTGCGGTTGAGGGTGGGGCGGATGCCAGGGCTGGTTGGAGGGGTCAGGACAGGCTCTAATTGCCTCCCTCAGCCCCCAGGCTTGCCCCCACCTGCCCTACAGATGGTCTGGCAGGGCAGATCTGCCCCCTCCCCCTGGCCATCCCCAGGGTCACACCAGACTTTGACCTGACCCAGGGCCCTTCTCACCCTCTGGGGGCATTGGGGCATCAGCAGAGACCCCTCCACATACCCCAGAGCACACCGCAGCCCCAAGTCTGTGTACAGCTGGGTGTGGGCACAGGGCACTTGGGGCGCGGGGGGGGGGGGGGCGGGGGGGGGGGGAAGGGGTCCTCCCAGTGGCCTCTAGGAGCCTGGGTGCGAGAGGTTCATGGGGTGGCCTGCCCTGGGTATCAGATGACCCGTGATAACTGCCTGTGTGCCCACACGCACCCTGGGGCGGGGGGCTGCAGCAGCCATGCAGCCTTGCTCAGCGCCACGTCCCTGGGTGACGAGCGAGCGCGTGGCCCTTCCCGTGATGTGGCCTGGCCTGCCCACTCTGCCCGCGCCCCCGCACCTGAGGAAATGCTGGGTAATGTTTAACCCGGGCATTGCGACACCCCCTGCAGTGGCTGTCTGGCCTGGGCAGGAGAGTGGCCTGAGCAGCCTACCAGGAGGAGCCCACAGGGTGGGTGAATGCAGCCCAGCCCCACAGCCGCCTGCCCCCGGGTGCCTGGGAGCTGGCACCAGGCCCTGCCAGATGCCCCAGGCCTGCAGAGCTGGGGGACAGAGGCTGGGCTCGCCCCCGGACCCTGCTCCAAAGCCTTTCCGGCCCTGGGTTGGCCCTGATAAGGGTCCTGGGGAGCGGTATCTGGGCTGGTGCTGGGGAGGGAAATTCCCTGAGCTGAGTCAGGGGCTGGGGGGCCACCAGGACTCCTGGGGTCCCGTCCCGGCTGGGGCAGGGCACACGCGGGCCAGGCACCAGGACTCCTGGGGTCCCGTCCCGGCTGGGGCAGGGCACACGCGGGCCAGGCACCAGGACTCCTGGGGTCCCGTCCCGGCTCGGGCAGGGCACACGC